TGAAAACTGAACAGTAAGCAAACGGATTTTTGGAAATCACCACAAGTTTAATCAGAATTAGTGGCTGAAAATTGCAGCTAGGCTGCTACCAATCAGAAGTGTGCAGTGGCACAAACTCTAGAGTCTGCTTAGACAGCCATCACCATGGTGGCTCCAAAGGGTGTAATCCTACAGCCTGAAGGGATATAATAGAGGGTCAGCTGATGTGGGTGACCTATAGAGATGGACCTCTGACATGGATCTATATGTAGATAAATGATCTGTGTGTGGGGGTTCATGCCATTGTTATACCTAAAAGGCCAAATGATTTAATCCTACAACTTACATCATTTAACCTGTGGTCATCTACTGTTCTCTGCTTCATCTTAATCATCTGTCCTCGTCATTCTTTTCTATCTAATATTTTCTGACAGCTGTTATCTGTCCAGGACATTCTTGTACATGTACGTGTTTAAGTTGGACAGGTACTGCAAAGAGTTGTTCAGGAATAAAAGTGAAGAGTTTGAAATGTGTTTGTAGATCCAGACGGTGAAGACGCAGGAAATGAACCTGTTGCGAGAGCAGCAGGAGGCGCTGACGGGCGAACTGCAGCAGAGACGAACTGAACAGGAGAATCTGCTGGCTCAGAGGGATGACCTCAACTCCCAGCTGCAGGTAGATTAAACCAGTAGAGTCAGTGGTTTGTTTAATCTTTGGGTTTTATCTCAGCTCGTTCTGCCGATATAAACGACGCTCCAGCTGTTTGTTTACGGTTTTCTGCTTCTCTCACTTCACGACCTTCAGGAGTCGAGTTTTGCCAACAGGAAGTTGTTGGAGCAGTTAACCGAAGAAGGACAAGAGAAGGACAGACTGCTGAGAGAGCTGGACGAGGCTAAGAAGGTACACACAGAGTGCCACATGGTGTCTGTACACAAACCAGCTGAACCAGTAAACACACTTACACCTGTTTGTATGTGAGCAGACAGCGGAGAAGAGGAAGGCCATGCTGGATGAGATGGCCATGCAGCTGAACCAGGAAAAGTCTGACCACAAGGAGGCGCTGTCAGACCTCAAACTGCAGCACGAGAAAGAGGCGAGTGTTCATGGATCTGCTGCTTTTAATGGCTTTTATCCATCACAGTTTTCTTCTTTGTTTGGTTTCTCTACATGTCTGTAGAGTTTCTTTGCTTTGAATTATCGCTGATCTGTTTTCATCTGTTTTTGTTTGTGTGGTTTTTAGTTTTTAAAATGTGGAAAAATAAAGAAAAGCCAAACATTTTCATCAGATTTAGTGAATCCTTGTTGCTTTTGTCTCTTCTCTGTATCCCCTGACTCATTTTCTTCTTCTGTCTCCTCCTCTCTTTCAGGTTCTTGCAGTCAGGGCTCGATACGAGAAGGAGCTCAGAGGACTTCATGAAGACAAGAATCGCTCTGAGGAAGAAATCCGACAGCAGCTTAGAGATGAAAAGGTAAAGAGGCACACAGGAGGTGAAAGTGGGTAAGGAGACAAAGGAAAACGCCTGACGCGTGTCTCCCAGATGTCTCGTATAACACGAGCAGCAGAGTCGTTATCGCACAAGTTCACGATATGCTTTGTGAGTTTTCAGGCTCGGGCGAAGGAGCTGGAGGGTTTACAGCCCCGAGTGGAGGAGCTGCTGAGTCAGGTCCAGTCCATGGAGGGAGCCAAAGGATGGTTCGAGAGACGGCTCAAAGAGGCGGAGGTCAGTATCTGCTGAGTGCTGGCTGGTCACCCTATAAACCAGCGGTACTTTTCCGCCAACTCGTCCTCCAAATCCTCCGTAGTTTAAAGGTCAAGTTCGCACATTTGCATCATTATTTTAAAGTGAAAACGCCAACATTTACTGTTTTTAGCTTCTCGGCTGAGCAGATTCTGAGTTCCTTTGATTCCAAGTGTTCCTCTGTGACTGACTGTACTTTATCTGTCTGTTGATGCGAGCAGGAGAATATAGAGAAGAACAATCTGCAACATCAGGAGGAAATCGAGCAGCTGTGGAAAGAACACAAACTTCAGCTGGAGGTACACGCACGCACACACACGCACACACGCGCACACACGCGCACACACGCGCACTTTCATTTCGTTTTATTTAATCAGGTAAAGGTGTCACTGAGAAGAGTAATGTATTTTCTGTGAGTACAGAATGAAAGCCGGTGTTATAAGAACAAAAGCAGACAACAGACAGAGAGGACTGTCACACTCGATGAGATTACACACATTAAAGCGAGCACAGAAACGTTGATTAACAGATCCTGTAGAAGTGACTTAAACTCAGCAGCAGTAATCAGCTCTGACAGTTTCACCTCCGTCTCGACTTCGCCTCAGGAAAAAGATGCTGAAAAGATGCCGAGAC